TTGTATATATATGTATTTTGGTAAGAGAGATGGCCCGAACACCAGCCCAATGTGCGTCTCTTTAGTCTATATTTTTCTCTATCGCAATTGGATAAGGTTTCATAGAGTACTTTTCACCTGCAGTATCAATAGTTAGGGTTTCACTCGTTCGAAATCTCTGATCCTCAGAGGAGAAGCATTCACAGTATCAATAGTTAGGGTTTCACTCGTTCGAAATCAGAGGAGAAGCATTCGCCGCCCCTCTCTCTCGTCATGTAAGTTATTGTGATGTTTAGATTTTTCCAAGATAACTGTTATGTTTGGATTTAAGGTATAAGATGCGAACTCACTTGTGTAATTTTCTTTTAGTTTTGAAGCAAGCTAACAAAGAAGAATGAAAGAACCCAAGGAAAACAGAAAGCGAAGGAGTGGACAGAGAGCATTCGGGTAAATCGAAACCATGGTTCTAGTTGCATTCAAAAGAATATTCTACATTGTTTTGTTTATATTAACCATATCACAAGAGAAAATAATAGAATGCTACCATTAAACTAGCATAATTCTACCATATCACTACACTAATAACACCAAAATACAATAACATTTGTATCACAATAACAACATAGTAACATACTAATAATACCACCATACAACCACACTATTTACACCACATTACAACCACACTAAAAACACCGTAATATAATCACATTTATATCACAATAACATCATAACACCACACTAATAACACATCTCACAATATACACTACTATAAAAATACATTCATATGACAATAATACCATAATACTATATTGATAACACCACAATACAACTACATTTGTATCATAATAACACCATAGTACCGGACAAATAAAACTACCTAAAAACCACACTAGTAACACCACAATACACAGTAATAATACAATTTATACAACCACATTTGTATGACAATGCCGTCATAATACCACACTAATAACACTACAATATAACCACATTTGTATCACAATAACATTATAGTACCAGACTAATAGCACCACCTCACAATGACATTAAAAACACCACAATACACACAAATAACACAATTATACAACCACATTTGAATGACAACAAAATCATAATATCACACTATTAATATTGTTCCATTGTAGAGAACAACAACAATATTATTCCTGTCTATTTGGAACAACCCCATCTCATCACGTTGCATCGACCACAAAAATATTTTTTCGCCATTTTAGAACACGAGATCGACAACTTTGGCCCTGTCACCTAGCATTTTGTTGTTTTATTACTGTCATTGCTATCTGATTGTCGACAATATCAACACACACAGGGTTATACTCAAACAATCATTTAAATTTATCAATCATAAGTTCGTAATTGAATAAATTAGTGTTCTCCAGAGTAGCATTTAAATGGGCTTTTTCAAAATAAAGCCACCCATTTAAATGGGATTTTTCAAACCACGAGCCCCCTCAAGCAAAACCTAGATCTTTTGAAAGACGCATTGGTGGAACGAAAAAGGTCCTTTGTGATCCAAAACAACAAAAAGTTATCGTTCTTGTGAATAACTTCAAGATTCGCCCGACAGACATCGCTTCACCAAACAAAAATTTTCACAAGCCTCTGCGTCTACTACAACGCAATGAAATTTAACGTCTTCTCAAATAGTCTATAGGAACTAAAAAAAATATTGTTGTTGAAATAGATTTTGAAGTTAATATTATGAATTTTAAAATAAGCTTTTCAATCTCTAATATTTTTAATCATGACAAAGTTATTATATAATCTATGAATAACTAAAATCATTAGTTTCTAATCAATTTTTTTTATCATTAGATAATTTATCTTGGGAGAATCAAAATGAGCTCACAAGATAATCATGTAGAAAAGAAACGCGGGACAAATGATCCCTCTAACATCAGGCCTTCGACCATGCCTTTTAAATCGCTATAGATATTATATTTTATTTAAAATTAATTAAAAATAAAAAAAATTAATAACAATATTTACGTTAAGCATAAGGCGTGGGTAGGGCTGTCAAAACGGCTCGTTGTTCGCGAACAGTTCATGTTCAGCTCTTTAAAAACGAGCCGAATACGAACAACACAAACAAATATTTATTCGTTCATGTTTGGCTTGTTTGGCTCAAAATATTACTAAACAATTATATATATATTTGATGAGTAATATTTTTAAAAATTTGAATGGACTATAAGACTACAAAGATTTATATTCAATTAAAAGTATTAATTAAGAAAGTAAAATAAAAATTATTAAATTAGATTGAAATGATGTTTTATATCTTGCCCAAATCCTTAACTTCTTATGACTACGTGATTAGGGTTGTCAGAATGACTATTTGTTCGTGA